TGACCCACTCATTCTTTAGGATTAGATTATTTAATTTCCAATTAGCTTTTAATCTATGTTTCCATGGACCTTTATAAAAAGTAATTTTTATTGCATTATGATCTGAAAAGAATGTATTTAATATTTCTGCTTTCCTGTATTTGGTCATCAGCTTTTTATGCTCTACTACATGGTCAATTTTTGTGAAGATGCCATATAGAGCTGAGAAAAATGTATATTCCTTTCTATTCCCATTCAGTTTTTCCAGATGTCTATCATATCTAACTTTTCTAAGATTTTATTCATCTCATTGTTTTCTTTCTGATTTATTTTATGGTTAGTTTTATCTAGCTCTGAGAGAGGAAGGTTGAGGTCCCCCACTGTATAGTTGTATTGCCTATTTCCTCCTGTAATTCATTTAACTTTTCCTTTAAGAATTTGGATGCTATGCCATTTGGTGTGTGTATGTTTACTACTGATATTATGTCATTGTCTATGGGACCTTTTAGCATAATAAAAATTTTCTGCTTGTATCTTTTAATTAAGTCTTTTTTTGCTTTTGTTTTGTCTGAGATCATGATTGCTACCCCTACCTTTTTTACTTCAGCTGAAGCATAATAGCTTCTACTCTAGTCCCTTATTTAAGGTACATGTATGTCTTCCTGTTTCAGGTGTGTTTGTTGTAGCAATATATTGTTAGGTTCTGGTTTCTAATCCATTCTGCTGTCCACTTCTGTTTTATAGGTGAGTTCATTTCATTCACGTTCATAGTTATGATTACTAACTATGTATTTCTCTCCATCCTATTTTCTTCTGTTTATCCTTCTCTCTCTCTCTCTTTTTATCCTGTCCCTCTTCTAAAATTTGTTGCCTTCCCTTCTATCACCCCCTACCCCTGTCACCCATTCTTTTCTCCTCTGACTTCCATATTGGATAAGATAGATTTGTACTACCAATTGAGTATGTATATATATATGTATATGTATATATATGTATATATATATATATATACACACACACTTTTTTCTCTTTTTGAACCAATTTAGATGTAAGTTTCAAGCATTGCCTGCCTCTACCCCACCATTTTTCAATTCTACCATAAAAGCTCTTCTTTGTGTGCCTCTTTTATGTGAGATGATTTCTCCCAATCTACCTCTTCCTTACCCTTTCTCCCAAGGCATTCCTCTTTCTCACCTATCCATTTTTTTTACTTCATCCCAATATAATTAACTCACTCCCACACCCTTTTTCTGTATAGAATCCCTCTAAGTACCCCAATAGTGATAAAGTTCTTAGAAGATATTTGTATCCTCTTCCTTATATAGAATAGCACACAGTTTAACCTTATTGAGTCCCTTCAGATCTCTCATGTTTACCTTTTTATGCTTTTCTTGATTCTTGTATTTGAAAGTCAAATTTTCTGTTCAGCTCTGGTCTTTTCATTAAGAACACTTGAAAATCTTCTCTTTAATTAAATATCTATTTTTTCCCCTTGAAGGATTATGCTCAGTTTTGCTGGTTAGATTATTCTTAGTTGTAATCCCAGATCTTTTACCTTCTAGTATATCATATTCCAAATCCTCCACTCCTTTAATATGGTAGTTACTAAATCTTATATTATCCTGACTATGACTATTTAAATGGCTTCTTTCTGGCTACTTGAAGTATTTTCTCTTTCACTCAGTTTTTCACTTTGGGATCTTCTTCAAGTGGTTATTGGTGGATTCTTTTGATTTTTATTTCACTTTTTGGTTCAAGGACTGTGGGGTAGTTTTTCCTGGTAATTTCTTGAAATATGATGTGTAGGGTCTTTCTTTGATCATGACTTTCAGGTAATCTAATAATTCTTAAATAATCTCTCTTTGATCAATTTTCCAGGTCAATTGTCTTTTACAATGAGATATTTCACATTTTCTTCCATTTTTTTCATTCTTTTGACTTTGTTTGATTGTTTCTTGTTGTCTCACGGAGTCATTAGCTTCCACTTGCCCAATTCTAATTTTTAAGTAATTATTTTCTTCAGTAAACTTTTGTACCTCTTTTTCTATTTGGCCAATTCTGTTTTTTTAAGGTGTAATTTTCTTCAGTATTTTTGTACATGAATCTTTTGTTGTTTTTCAGTCACGTCCAACTCTCTGTGACCCCTTTTGGGGTTTTCTTGGTAAAAATACTGGAGTGGTTTACCATTTTCTTCTCTAGCTCATTTTACAGATGAGGAAACTGAGGCAAAATTAGGTGACTTACCAAGGGTCATACAGTTAGTGTCTGAGCTCAGATTTGAAGTCAGGAAGATGAGTCTTCCTGACTTCAGGCCCGGCGCTCTACCTACTGCACTCTATCCTCTTTTTACCAAGCTGTTAATTGTCTTTTCAAAAAAAATTTCTTTTTTGGGTTGGGACTAGATGACCTCTAATGTACCTTCCAACTCTAAGTCTATGATTTTATGAATAATCCTCTCCCTTCTTTTGTGATCTCCTCTGCTTTGTTGTAGCTATCGTGTTAATATCTGGGCAGCTAGGTAGCACAGTGGATAGAGTGCCAGGCCTAGAATCACAAAGACCTGAGTTCAAATTTGACTTTAGACACTTACGAGCTGTGTTACCCTGGGCAAGTCACTTAACCCTGTGTGACTCAGTTTCCTCATCTGTTAAATGATCTGGAAAAGGAAATGGCAAACCACTCTAGTATCTTTGCCAAGAAAACCCCAAATGGGGTCACGAAGAGTTGGGCATGACTAAAAAAACAACTGAACAACAACGTCATTGTTCTACGGTGTACAGCTGGGCCATGAAAGTCCAGAAAAAAAAAAAGTTTGAGCTTTGTCCCTAGGTTCCATTGCAGTGAAGCACAAGGATGTTCCATTTCCATTCAAGGATACTTAGTCTCATGCAAGAAATGAAGTCAGACATGACCCTTAACTACCTTTGAAATGCATGCTGTTTGCTATATAGTTTGACAAAATACGAATGACTCAGTGCAATTGATCCACACAACTAAGAAAACAGCCCTCAGTTGGTAGAATGGTAAGTTTGCTTTCCCATGAGGGTTGATCTGATTGAAACAAATTTGGGATGGCTAGGTGGAACAGTGGAGAGAGTGTTGAACTTGGAGGCACGAAGACTTGAGTTCTAATCCCTGCCTTAGACTCTTTTTAGCTGTGTGACCTCAGTTGAGTCATTTAACCTTTCCCATACACAGTTGCCTCATCTATAAAATGGGGATAATAATAGTGCCTAGCTCACAAGGTTGTTGTGAAGATCAAATGAGATTATGTGTGTATAGAACTTTGTAACCTATCACCATTATTTTTAAGCGCTCCATGTAACAAACCCCGCTGGGTCACACATCACAGCTAGTGCACTGCAGCCTTATCAGCCGCATTGCTAAGTGGGTTAGGGAACCTCACGGCAGCTCCCCAAGTACGGAGACCGTGTCTCACCTTCAGACTGCCTCAGAGCAAGAGCTGTGATTTTTCCTTAAGCTGGGAACTCCCTAAAGGTATGCACTGTGCCTTCCTTCCATTAGACTAGTAAGGCCCTGAGGATGGGCACGTGTCTCCTCCTTCCTGTATCTCCCTTTCCAGGTCCAGACTGTGGCATCATGCACAAGATGTTGAATACCAGGCAGCTCTCGCTGTGACTTTTCTTGCTCAGGAAAGCACAGTTCTGATCATATCACTCTCCTTCCAAACAATCTCCTACAGCTCCACCCTTCATACCTCTGTGCTCTTCCCCATACCTGTAATGACTTGTCTTCATCTCTCAGAATCACAGGACTATATATCTAGGGCAGGAAAGAACCTTGGAGGCCATCTAGTACAACCCCATCATTTTACAGATTCATTCGTTATCTTCTCTCCTCCCAACACACCTCTCTTTCAAATTTCCCCGTTTCTATTGGGGCTATTCGCATCCTTTCTGTATCCTAGGTTTGTAGCCTCAGAATTATCCTTGACTTCACACAGTTTCTTACTCAGTTTTTCCAGCCATTTGCCAAAACTTGCCATTTCTACCTCCCCAACATCTCTCACGACCAGTCTCTTCTATCTACTTGAAATAGCTACTGCCGTAATTCAAGCCCTTCTCCAAAAACTCCAGGGAATCCCTATTGCCTCTAGGATCAAATAAAAAATTTCTCTGGTATTTAGTTCTCACAATCTGCCCCATCCTACCTTTCCAGCCTTATTACACGTTACTTCCCTTTACACATGTTAAGGTGGAGCCAAAGTGTCTTCACTGCTCCCATACACAGTGCTCTACCTCCCAATTCAGTGCCTATGTAGTGACTGTACCTCCCTCTCTCCCCCCCATGCTTGGAAGGTGCTTCCTTCTCACCTCCACCCAAGGGGCCATTCTCTGCTTTATTTCTTACCTAGCCTTAATGGGTGTTGCCTCGCCAGTCAGACTGAGACCTGATAAAGACCTTAGCCAGTCAAACTGAGACCTGATAAAGATAGAGCTTAACTTAAAAAGGCAAGGTCTCCCACTGCATCCTGGGCCACCTCCAGTCGTCCTGATCCCTATCTTGCCACTGACCCAAATGGCTCTGGAGGAGAAAGTGGGCTGGTGACTTTGTACAGCCCCCCCTCACTCAAATCCAAATTCACTTGCAAGTCATGGCATCACCTCCCCGATGTCATGGTCCTCTGTGAGAACAAAGGACAAGCAACAACTTAGAATTTCTAGATTTCCTTCAAGGTCTAGCTCAAGTTCCATTTCATCCATGGAATGTTTCCTGACTCCTTCAGCTAGAAGTGATCACTCTCTCCCTCTGAATTCACACAGCCCTCTTCCTGTTGGCACTGAGAATATTCTGCCCTGTGTTGGGCTCATTTGTATCTTTGCCTTAGCTTCAGTACTGGGCTACAAATTTCTTCAATGGAGGGGCCTCATTTATCTTTGTATCCCCAGAATCCATCATAGCTCCCTGGAAACAGTAGGTGCACAGTAAGTATATGCCAAATGAAGGAAGGCAGCCTGGTGGGACTGATGCCATACATGGCTTTCCCCTTTCCCCCACAGATGTCCTGGCGCCCGCAATACCGAAGTTCGAAGTTCCGGAATGTCTACGGGAAGGTGGCCAACCGAGAGCACTGCTTTGACGGGATCCCCATCACTAAGAATGTGCACGACAACCACTTCTGCGCTGTCAACGCCAGGTTCCTTGCCATAGTTACAGAGAGCGCAGGAGGTGGATCCTTTCTTGTAATCCCCCTGGAGCAGGTATGATATGTTTGCCTCCTTTCCTGAAATGCAGATCAAACTTCAAAAGTAGCCAGGGCCTCTGTGACATCTAGAAGGAATCCTGCCGGGAATTTCGAATCCAGCCTCCTCTCCATTAGCCTGAGGCTGCTAATCTAGTTTGTGGAGAGTCCAGCTTCTTATCTTTTACTTCTCCCTTTTCTTCCCTACCTAGAAGGAGACAAGACTTACCAACTATTTCCCTTTGAGGCTCTGCATGTAGGGATTACATTTTTTGGCATGTTAAGTTGGAGGGAGGAAGCAATAGTTGCCTTAGATTCGATGGATTCAGTGTGGTATAGTGGTAGGAGCAGTGACTTTGGAGTCAGAGGGCTTGGGTTTGAATCCTGGCTTTGCCACTTCCTGTCTGTATGACCTTGGGTTTTCCATTTCTGGGCCTCAGATTGTAAGAGAAAAGGACAAATTAGATGATCTCTAAAGCCTCTTTTCTTTCTGAATCCTGTTATTGAATGTTTGTGTCATACTGTCAAAATTACATGATAACAGGCCTGATTTCTATTAATATCGATAAAGTATTTTTTTCAGGGCAGCTTTGTGGTACAGTAGATAGCATGCTGGACCTAGAGTTTTTTTGTTTTTTTTAGGCAATTGGGCTTAAGTGACTTGCCCAGGGTCACACAGCTAGTAAGTGTCAAGTGTTTGGTCTGAGGCCACATTTGAACTCAGGTCCTCCTGACTTCAGGGCCAGTGCTCCATCCACTGTGCCACCTAGCTGCCCCCATGCTGGGCCTAGAGTCAGAAAGACTCATCTTCCTGGGTTCAAATCTGGCCTTAGATACTTACTAGCTGTGTGATCCTGGGCAAGTCACTTAACCCCACTTGCCTCAACTTCTTCATCTGTAAAATGAACTGGAGAAGGAAATGACAAATCACTCTAGTCTTTTGTCAAGAAAACCCCAAATGGAGTCGTGAAGAGTTGGACACAGCTTAACAACAATAACAAAAAATATTTTTTTCAGGGAATATGCTTTGTAATAGGGCACATGTGTGAATGTGTATGGGGGAGTGGTTTTGTTGGGAAATATCTGCTATGTTAAAACAGAATTATCCATTTTTAAACTTAAAAATATGATTTTTTTTTTAAGTCATGATTTGGAGTCAGAAGACCCAGATTTTGTCAGCAACTTGCTGGGTCACTATGAGAAAGTCATTTAACCTATCTGGGCCTTAGTTTCCTTATTCAAAAAGTGAGGAAGTTGTACTATATGATTTTTGGGATCTTTTCTAGCTCTAAAGAATTTGTTTTCTGACTTCTAAGTGTTCCTATTAGGAAGGGAGCAGGGGACAGATTACAACAGATACCTGCAGAAAAAAAATGGTAATGCCTTAATGCAACATTTGAAATCTTCATCTAAGAAGACTTCCAGATATTATTTTCCATCTTTGCTCCCTTAGCCCCTTGCTATATAATTCTCCCTCTCCCCCCTACAGCCACCCTTGCGTGACTTTGGCAAATTAAATCTGCAAAGCCTAGATCATAAAAATTTTAAACTCCCAGCCACTCAGCAGACTTTCAAGAGACACGTGGGAATCGTGAGAGTCCTGTTAAGTGCTATCTGTCAGTCTCACTTGTTTATGGTTGAATTCTCTTCTCCCCGCTGACTCATTCCCACTCCTACCCTCCACTGAGTCTTTAGGAGTTTTACATGGAAGTCTTCCTTCCTGAAGTTTTCTGCATCAGCTTTTGGTAGAGGATGGGTTTTGGGAGGCCTTGCTGTTTGGGAAATAAATACTAGGAGAGGGCTTGGACCAGATCATCTTTCCCATTCAGGCTGGCAGAAGAAACCACATCATGGCACATGTTACTGCAATGAGTGGAGATTGGGAAGGAACTGGGAACCCTTGTGCTTGACAGATGTGAGCAGCGTTAACTTGTCTCCCTTCTGGTGCTTTGATAGGGATTTTGAGAAGAATTCTTCCTTCCACCCCACCTTGGGACCTGGACATTCCTAGAATCTAGTCCTGAGTAGAGATAAGCTTCTATGTCTGGATTGGCTAGCCCATGGCAATAGGCTATTTTTCAGTGCTGTGGGCCAGTCCCCATATTTCTATTGCCTGTCCTCTCTTACTTGTAAGATAGATATTGGCTCGCCAGCCCACACTCTACCACCATTCCCAAACCTTCCAGCAAACCAGAGCTGGCCTTAGAGCCTTGGTCCTTAACTGTAGAAAGGTTATCCAGCCCTTTATTTGCATTTCACAGGAGAGAGAGAGAGAGAGAGAGATCTATACACACATATCGTGCACACACACATATACAAACATATATATGTATATGTAAGTATACATACATATACATATACATACACATATACACATAGATACATATACATACACATATACACATACATACGTGTGTGTGTGTGTGTGTGTGTGTATTTCCTTTTGCACTGTAGCCACATCTGGAAAATTGGACGTTTTTTATAAATGCAGTTTCATATCTTTCTTGCAACTTGGTGAAACATGATTAATATTCCAATCTTTGTAAGTAACAGGTTTGACTTTGGTAATATCTCATTTACCTTTTGTACAGGTGTATTTTCTGTAACAAATGAAAGTACTGATTATGTATGAGGCCCTGTACTAAGCACTGGGGTTATGCATCTAAGTAATACAGTCCTTGCTCATAAGGGGATTACATTCTAATAGCAAAGACAACACATATTTGGAAAGTACCAGAGGGAGGGGTTCTGTCAACATGACATGGAGCTATGGAATGGAGACTGCAGGAAAATTTTATGGTGGACCTGAGTCAGAGAAAGAAAAGTCAAAAGTTTCCCAGTTAGAGCCCAGGTTCCCAAGGGTGAGATGATCAGTTCTGGTGGGAGGAGTACAGGTGGCCTGGCGTGGAAATGGCTAGGAAATAGAGTCATGGGTCAGGGTCAGGACCAAATAAGATGAGCTTGCCCCTTAAGGACAAAAATTCTGATTATTTTAGCCATTTTAGTTAGAAATGCATTACTCATTTTCCTGTTTTGTTTTTAGAAAATATTGATCATAATTTAACTTCTTTCTGATGACAGAGGTTCATCATTATGCGTATCAATTATTGAAGTGTGATAGCACATAGCACACAAAGGTATTGAGGTTTTGCCCCTATCCTGAATGGCCAGAGTCCTCCATGCTGAAGAACTTACTAGAAAGTAGATCAAAAAGCCAATCTTCTTTGTATGGTTCTCCTGTCAGCTCTCTAATTTTGATGCATTCTGTTGCTATAATCTGTCAACATTTCTCAGTATTATCAGGATATCTTCTTGCTGCCTTATTTTATACACAGTTGACTGGGCAAGGATCTGAGGAGGCTGACAACTCTTCTAAGAATAAAGTATATGGACTTTGATGGCTCTTTGCCCGATGAAGGCCATTCTCACTTATTTCCAGCATTATAGCTTTGCTACGAGAAGTTGAGGTTACCAAGAAGTCAGATCTCCAGATAAATGAAGTCTCACTGTAATGGTCAAATAATTAAAGACTCTTCTTGATTATGTTAAAAGTAAAGTGAAAAAAGGAAATATTCAAAATCAGTTCCAGAATGGGTTCCTTCTCCTACCTTTTCTTCCCTCTCCAAGCCTGAGGATGACATGGCCCATGGGTTGAAGGAGGAAATACTTGGAGTGGACTTTTTTTTTCCTGTGGATATTTTGCCAGGAGAGAGAACATCAGTATTTTGGAGCCCTGGGACATCTTGCTCCTTGATCTACCCTCCAAAGAATGGGTTTAGCCTGCTTTGTGGCAGAGAGTGTGTTGAATCCCTTCAAATTCGCCGCCCTTTGGAATTAGGATTTGTGTTTTTAAATTCTCCCAGGGTGGGAAAGATAAACAAAATAAAAACAGAACAACCTTCCACATCCAAGGCAAGGGCAGTGGTGACATTGGTGGTACAGTGAGACTTAGAGTAATGGGCACCAGGTCTCTCTTCCCTGTTGTTGCTATATAGGCCATTGTTAAGTCAACCTGGGTTTGGATTTCCACTTAAAATTCAGACCAGAGCTCCCGACATTAGACCCTAACTCTCTCATTTCTGGAGTGGAATGTTAAACTGCAGATGTGAGGAACTGTAGTCAGCATTCTAATTGCTTGGCACAGCTGGAAGGACCTTATGAATATTCCAAAAACAAGGTACTTTCTCCAAGTGGCCTGATTAACACTTGGCCTTTCAGTGCTGCCTGCCCTCCCCCTCCACCCCTTTCCCATTTCACTCAGCCCATGCTGGCCCGGGCAGCCAAATCCAGACCGCCACCTTTTCATGCTGCCATTGCCACAATGAAACCTTAAGGCCAGTTAGCCTCAGAAGTCGCTGCTGTCCTGACTGGCAACATGGTGTAATGAAGAGAACACTGCACTGGGAGTTATATGGTCATAGATCTAAAATCTTGGGACCATACCCAGCTTTAAAGATGGAAGGGCTCTTCGAGGTCATCCAGTCTAACTCCCTCATTTTACAGCTGAGAAAACTGAGATGAAGAGAGCTTAAGTCAGGAGAACCTTGGATCTTATCCTGGGCTCTGGGACAGACATTGCTGCATGAATTTGAATGTCTCTTTATCTCAGTTGCTTCATGTGTCAAAGGAAGATGGTTTGCTTACCTGATGGGTTTATTTTGAGGAAATAAGGTCTCTCTCTCTCTCTTTCTCTCTCTCTCTTTGTATACATATGTATATCTATAGATAGATAGATAGATAGATCTATACTTATATGTATAAATGCTTCTACAGGACAGCTAGGTGGCTCAGTGGATAGAGTGTTGGGCCTGGAGTCAGAAAGACTCATCTTCCTGAGTTCAAATCTGGTTTCACACACTTACTATCTGTGTGACCCTGGGCACGTCACTTAACCCTGTTTGCCTCAGTTTCCTCATCTGTCAAATAAGCTAAAGAAGGAAATGGCAAACCACTGTAGTATCTTTGCCAAGAAACCTCCAAATTAGGTCACAAAGAGTTGGAACAACAACATAAATATTT